CATCTGAAGTGTTTGGTGCGCATGCAGTAATATGTCATATTCAGTTGACAGTGCATTTTTCATCGGTCTTGACATGTCTGATTCTACCTCTTTCTCTCCCAGGTGATATAATGATCGACTACACGTATGTTGAGTGTACCTCAGCTGTAATGCAGGCACTGAAACACTTTCACAGTGTATATCCTGAGCACAGAGCAGAAGAGATTAGGTACAGCCAAACACAATATTTCAGCATATTGTGGTTTGAAAAATGGTTTGGTTAAACCACGTCTCTTGATCACATAGGACAACTCTTCAGCAAGGGCTGGACTACTGCAGGAGGGTTCAAAGACCTGATGGCTCATGGGAAGGGTAGGCGTTGGTTCATTTATAATCAGAGACATTATTGTGTTGCTTCTTAGACTGTTTATGAAGGAATTCTGCTTGTCTTAGGTCCTGGGGAGTCTGTTTCACATATGGAGTCTGGTTTGGTCTGGAGGCATTTGCATGTATGGGCCACACTTTCCAAAATGGGTATGTTATTTGTTTTTCTTCTCATATTGATGTTCATTTAATAAATCATCAGCTCATATTCTTTTACTGCACTTTATTTAACCCCTATTTAAGGTCTGTTTGTGTGGAGGTGAAACGTGCCTGTGAGTTCCTGCTGTCGAAGCAGATGGAGGATGGAGGCTGGGGCGAGGACTTTGAGTCATGTGAGCAGCAGCACTACGTTCAGAGCAAGAACTCACAGATCCACAACACCTGCTGGGCTTTGCTGGGGTTGATGGCTGTCAGGTAACAGCAGCAGTAGTTTTTAGATACCTCTACAGAACTGCCCTCCTGTTCAAAAACTGGGTACAGCTTTTGTGTTGGGGGGGGGGCAAACTGACCCACCTTGTTTTCTATTCAGTTTGCCAAAAATCAACATTATGAAAAATACTAAAGATTCTTGCAAAAACAGAAAACCTCTATTGTAGCTTGTCAGTGACTAAAAAATACAAAATATGTGAGGTAGTTAAATAATTTCCATTATTTTTATTGTGTTAGGGGTCAATTTAACCAATATATTTTTTTGTGTTCAAAATGAGCTGCACAGACACCATAACTACAAATACAAGTAACTGCAAGAAAGTATAAATAGTATCTAACATTATTTGTACTTAGTGTAAGTAATATCTATTGCTATTTGTACTTCCTCTGCCTTTTTATGTCTTTTTCTTAAACCCTTGTGAGGGTAAAAAATGGCTTTCTCATGCTTCTGTTCAGCAACAGTCTAGTAATTGAGATCCAAAGATTTTTTCAACTAGATATTAAAGTGATTTTTTTGGGATGATTTAGAAAATGATTCTCAAATTTGAGTAAATATGACATTTTCATGTATTTCATATTTCAGTGTTTGGCAACCTACAATAACTTTTTTTTCCTGATTCTTTAGTGTTTTTCAAAGTGTTGATTTATGGCAAATTGCATGGAAAACAATGAGGTTCAGTGGGGTTGCTTTTCCAAAACAGGGTTAATTTACTTAAAAAATGTCATTTTTAGGTACCCTGACATCAGAGTGATTGAGCGAGGCATTCAAGGTCTGATTGACAGGCAGCTGCCCAATGGAGACTGGCCACAGGTGAGCAAAGCTGTTGCTAGATCTCAAATTCATCTGAGGTCTCTCTCTAATAAAATGTGCTGGGTTGTTTCCTTGTTTTCAGGAGAACATTTCTGGAGTGTTCAATAAAAGCTGTGCCATCAGCTACACCTCTTACAGGAATGTGTTTCCTGTGTGGACGCTGGGCCGTTTCTCACAGCTCTACCCCTGCAGCCCTCTGGCTGGGAAACTCAAACTCTGAGTCAGATACTGTGTACTTGTGCCTCAAATAAGCAGTATCTGATCAAAGATCATTCTTATTTGAAACAAACCTGTTTGCTGCTCTTTAGAAAGTAGGACTGATTTATCAAAGTCTTTAGAATATTATCTACAGAATATTGAATTCATTTTTGTGCTCTTTTAACCATGGGACCAAGGCGTTGTATCCTGTAGATGTTTATGTAATTAAAAGCGATTTTCTGTACTCTTATAATAAATCATTTTATATTTTGGATCTCTGTTTTGTGTCTGATTTATGTTTTATAATCCCCCTTTTGTTTGCACTGACTGAAATCAATTCAGTTTAGAAACTGCATACTGCTCAGTAGTTTAGAATGCTCTATGTATAAGGTATGTACAAATTATTATTGCTATTATTATTAATAATAAACATGAATTAAATATGCAAAGTAATGAGGTCATGTGACCTCAATGTAGCCAAAGACTACATTGACAAATATTTCGTAATGTGTTCTGTCTCACATAATACTTTTTTAATGGTATGCAGTATACATTGTGCAGTATTAGATAAGTATTTTCATTCTGAGCCCGACTACAGCCCTGCTGAGCTAAGTATTTAGTACATAGTAAGCTCAGCAAACATCCCAGTATCTACAGCTATTATTAGTAGTAGTAGTAGTATTACATTTATATTGGGTACAGGCTTTTATTTTGAAACGCTGAAGCATTGTTTCCGCATTTACGCTGCTCAGGGTTTATGGGTGAAGCCGGTTTAATGAACAGCTGATTTGAATTCTTCACGGAACATCTTTCAATTTTATGCGATATTGAAGTGCTTTTTGCAGCGTGACAGGACAGAGATATGAATGTTAAAGTCACGGAGTGAACGATGGCGTCAGGATGGCGGCAGCCTCGATCAGTTAAAGCTGCTTTACTGTTTAACACCATCACCATCATCATCTTCATCAGCACCGGCGCACAGACGCACACCTGTGACCATAAAGTGCCCCTGCCCACAGAGGTCAGTCCC